CAACTTGGGCCAGTGAAGCAACGTCCTCCACAACTAGACTTTAGAACAAAAGGACAGCAACTTGTCTGTTCCCCTTCCCCCAATTCCCCAGCTCTGTTCCCATCCCCCCAATTCCCCAATAAAAATCTTAAAAAAAAAAAAACTTTTGAGACCAATCAGGATTATGGTCTCAAAAGCCTGCTCCACATTTATTTGGTGGGGTGGGGGTAATATAGAAGTGAATAACGAAATCGAAAAGGGCTTACCCATCAAAGGAAGAGCTGGTGCAGTCATATACCATCTCTCGGTTACCCTTCATCTGCAGGTATGCATCACAATTGTCACAACCGTCATATTCAAACTGGTCTATAGTCTGCGATGGAAAATTTTTTTAAATTAGAGAAGTGACATGAACAAGGCCAAAAGAAACAGCAGCTTTTCCGTACTTCTACCCCGTCAAGTAGAAGGCTGCCTATGTTGGCTGTGTCTCATCAGGTCCCCCACAGCCCCTAAATTCCATCCACTCTTGTTCCCAACTGCGTTTTACCTATTCCTTTCCCCAGTCTTCTCAGGGTCAGGCCCCCTCTCCAACTACTCCCTAAGCTGCAGATCCCCACCCTTCTTTGACTCCCACTGTCCTTCGGCTCCAACAGACAAGGTCAGGCCTGGGCTAAGAACTGAGGATTCAAAGGCACGTTAAGACCGCCCGTGCCCATGGTTGCTAAATGTGTTCCTACCGATGTAAACAATGGCCTCCTGCAGCTTCCCACATCCCGTTCCACCCATTCCACCAGCTTTTCCCGATCGCCCCTACAACCCTGATGCACACCTTGACCAGCGAACACAGCAAACAAGCTCGCAGATGCCGCAGGTCCTTCGGCACCGTCTCCAGGGCCATCGTCTCCAACAGAACAGCAACAAACTTCGCTACAACCGCCTCACCCACAGAAGGTGAACAGCAAATTACCCAGAATGCCCCACACTTCCGGTACCTCAGACATCCGCTTCCGGTATGGAAGGCCGCGGGGCCCGTCTCTCACCCCTACCCCCCCACCCCGCTTCAGAAATGGTTTCTCCCTCGTGGAGGCGGGGCCGGCCGGGAGTCACCTGGGCCGGCGCGCGCCCCCTCCACCTGGGCCTGCGCGAGGGCGCGGCCTAGTCGGCCGTTGGGCCTTTGGGCAGGACCCGTGGGGGAGGGGCGGCGCGGCTGGCGCCTGCGCGGGAGCGCGCCGTGACGCGGGCCGTTTGATCTAGGCCGCTGGCACCAGGCCGCCTACCCGTCCCCTTAGGAGGATTCCGGATGACAACCGAGATTCTTTTTTGTCCTTCTGTTTTAAAAGTGCAGGGCCCTAGAGAGTCCACAGTCTCCCTGTTATCTCTGCAGAGACGAAAAGAAATCCAGGGACACCCCCCTCCTTCCTTCCTGCGAGAGCATTGTAGGGTGTCCGTTTGCCATCCACGGGAATGCTGGGCGGACGGCAGGGCGGAAAAAAATGCATATTTGTTTTTTAAAACTTTTAGTACCTTTCCTCGTTCCAGCCGATAATTCATGCTTTGTGTAGCTTTTAGCATTTAGACAGTTAAGAACATCTGTAGATTTGTCCTTTTTTTCCATTTCATTCTGTAGGAAGCTAAATGCCTTACTCTGTGGTTCAAAACTGGGCACCAGACAACCACCACCCTTACCAAACCTTTACTGGAGAAGCAGAAGGGGGAAATGTGCTTTGTGAGGACCAGAGCAAAGGCCTCCAGGCCCTGTGCAATTCATACCAGCATGGCACCAGCTCTCTTGACCCGCAGTGGTCGCATGTGTAGGCAGAGCACCGCCATTTGTGTTTATCTGATTGGATCTTTGGGGTATAAATAGTTTCATGCCCTGCTGTTCTATCCTCCCTACCAGGCCTCCTAATTGAAACAGCTTCTTCAAGGCAGGCCTGCTCTCTGTGCCCACCCGGCTGGGCTCTGTGACGGGTGAGGGTGTTGTTCTCTATCACTGAATACTTTTCACTTTGGAACATGCTTTCACTCCCTTCTCTCAGGGGAGCTCTGCAACAACTGTGAAGTAGACCCATTTTATGGGTGGAAAAGTTAAGGCAGGGAGTATTAGCCCAAGGTCACAAAATCACTGAAGCATCATAAATTAGTGTGAAGTAATCAGTACGATGATAATATAGATAATGACTGAACCATAATGAGAAGCCAGACATGCTTTCTTCTTCCCTGATCTCAATGAACCAAGATTTACGGCCTTACAAACCAGCTCTTACTGCCAAGCCCACCACTCTACCTTATCCTTTCATAAATCAGGGCCTAGCCTCTGATACCAGGAAGAATACATTTCTGTCAATGTAGAAGACGAAACTGTTACCCTGAGTGACAGTGATGACAGAACAAAAGCACGAGACCAGAGTGTATTTATGGATAAATATATTAGCAAATAAATACATTTCTCAACATAGTGCCTGATTCAAGCGTCTTTCTGTCTGGTTCAGATATAAATACCCATGTGGGTGCTTAGGTGCCAGTTCCCCACTGACTCTGAGGGAAGAAGATTCTCAGGTGGGGTCCTGTGCCCACTTTGCTCCCACATTCACATTCCAAATGGGATAATGCCTGAGGGGCCAGCAATGGTCAAGCTGCCCTGGGGTGAATGTCACCTTAAGGAGGCCCCTCAGCCCTTGCCCACTCGGTACCAGCTGCTCAGACCAGACTTCCTGCTCCAACTCCACTCTCGCTTGCACACCTTTCTGTGTGTCCCTGGCCTGTATGGCTTATACTAGGAAGCTGGGCCTCTGGGCCACCTAAACCTAAGGATCCCACTTTGCTTTTCCTTTGTTCTCTCCTGTTCCCCATCCCTTCTTTGAGAGAAAAACTTCCAGAGAAAAACTCCTCGTTGTCCTTGTTCAGCTGCAATTCTGTCTTTTCTACCTTCATTCCATCCTTTCTCTTCCTAGATGAACTCCATAGATATCCTTTTCTTTCTGCCACTTTGGGACTGAGAGATGGGAGATCTCCAAGGACGAGTTATTCCCTCCCACTACCCCCACCCCAACTCCCAGAGAAACTGGGGCTGCTAGAGTGACAAGGGGGTTTAAAGTTCAGAGGCTTCATCCCAGGTTCTTCAAAGTGCTGTACCCCCTTGGGGAGAGAACTCCACGCTCTGGCTTCCCAGAGCCTCCCCTCTGACTTAATACAATGTATCTGAAAATTAAGGACAAGAAGGGAAAAAACACATTTTGTTATGTACCAGGGCAAGTAATGCCTGGAGAGCTGCAGAGCCCCCCTTTTTAGGGCTCGGGGCTCACCTATGCTCCTGATCCTTTTGCAAAGAAGGAAAATGATAAGAGCCAGGGTTGCTGCTGACGCAGCAGCCTTACCAAAGAGGAGCCATAGCTGATGTGCAGGACTCACCCAGAGAATGAGGTGAGAAGGGGTCGTGCATTCAGCTGGACCCACTGGCTGGTATGAACATGAGGCTTGGGAGCAGGAAGACCTGTTGGGGCTGGGGAAGGGAGCAGCACCTTTACAAACACCAATCTACCCATACCTAGCTTTCTGCTCTCAAAAAACAGCCCTCACGGGAGCCAGACCACACAGGCAGTAGCTGGTACCCTGCTGGACACAGATTTGCTGCACTGCAGATGTGCTCTGCAGACAAGGTCTGTAGCTGGGAGCAGGAAACAACACCTCCTGCCACCACCATCACCACTCCTCTTCCAGTGGTTTCAGGAAGGACGGCAACAGAGGGATGTTTTCTGAGGTCCCTTCTTCTCTCAGGAGCAGGACTCTGCCGGTGAGGCCCCACATCATCCGGAGCACGCTCTTGGTGGGAGGTAGGCCCGAACATCTCACACAGCCTGTTCACACAGCTCCTCTAGCTCCTCCTCCGAGCCTGCATCTGGAGAGAGGGGAGGAAAGGTTCTGAGGGTGAGGCCCGGCCCTTGCTTATACCACCTGCGGGGGAGTATGGCCGGGGTGAGAGCCACAGAGAGGGAGGAGCAGGGAATGTGTCCCCCGGAAGGGGGGATTAGATTGAAAGCTGAGAGGGACCCCAGGTGGAACCCAGAGGAGAGAACAACAAATCTAGAGAAAGAGAAACATTTATAGCAACCAGTATGTTACCAGTACTTACTCTTCATTCATGTACCCAATAAATATTTACAAAGCCACCATGTGCCACACAGAAGATCAAGCAGAATAAGCAGGGACCTGACAACCTTGTAGGAGAGAAGGCGTGCATGCAAATAGCAATTACACCAGTGGGACAGGACTGCTGTCACAAGAGATGAATCGAGGAAGGGGGGAGATCTTGTCCAAGTGGAGAAATCAGGAAGGGCTTCCTGAAAGTGGAGATAAATGAGCTGGTCCTGCAGGAATAGGTAAGAGTTAGATTTATGGGCTTAGGAAAGCAGCAGAATATTCTGGGCTACAGCATCTGCAAGAGGTGTTGACAGTGTGGCTAAAGCATGGGGCAAGGGAAGGGAAGGGGAAGGGTGGAAAGTGAGGTTGGGAAGGAAGACGGGGGTGAGATGGTGCTAGAGCCTTGAAGGCCAAACTAAGTTGGATTTTTCTGTACTGTGGACAAAACAGAACATTTGAAGATTTCTGGACAGTTTATTTGAGGAAGATGACCCTGGTAGCAGTATGGAGGGTAGGTGGGCAGGGTCACTGCTGCACAGCTCTCCAGGACACAACACGAGATGTGCGGTGCCCAGCCTTCATGGCCTTGTAAGCGGGGAGTTAAGAGTTTGGAGGCTCTTGCCTCCATCTTTGGACTGCACCTAGGACATGACATGGGCAGGGGCTGTTAGTACCAGAGGAGACTATGATAAAGCTAGCTGAGATACGGTTAACAGAACTTGGCATTGACTGGATCTGAGGAGCAGGGAAAATGGAGGCATGGAAACTAGTTCTGAGTTTGGGAAAGAGGGGAGATGATGGTCTGTCACTGGCAGCACTGAGAGTACAGCACATGACGGGTCTAAGTGGAATCATCAAACACATGACCAAAGCCTGCATGACACGGCTCTATGAAAGCAATTGTTTTCTGTACTGTAGCTGTTTGCATGCCCATCTCCCCACAGACCTGGATATCCTGGTTGACAAGTTTCACGTCCTCAGAGCCTAACCTAGAATCTAGCACATAGCAAGCATACGATACAGAAAGGAAAAAGAAGAAACGAATGAATGAATGATAGCAGCTCTCAGGTCCCGCCTATAGGATTCCTAGACCCTGAGGTCTTGTATTTCAGGACCTTTGGATCCCCTTTTGGGGTGGAGGGGTCCTCCTAGTGATGTCTGTAGGCAAAGAGCTGTGTCATTCATACAATGGGAGAAGATGGAGGAAGAGCAGAAGGTGGAAGGCTCAGGAAGAGAAGGATTTGAGCAAATAAATACCAAGTTAAAGTTGAGGATTTACATGATCACCATTGGTTGTAATACAGTAACAGGGATGCACTAAGCCCCCAAGAAAATGAGGTCTGTCTTATTAACAAGGGTGCTTAGAAGGGAAGCCCTAACTGTTCTTTTACCCTAGGAGAGAGGAGAAAACTTAAGGACCCACAGAATTGCTGGGAACCACCCATGATCTCTCTGTTTTCATTTTGCATCATTCACATAGCTCTTCTCCTGTGGCCCAGCATTATGGTTATTAGTAATTATTTTTCTTCCATGCTCTTCTCAAGGGCAAGGAATACTTCTTGGCATTCTTTGTATAATATTTAAAGCTAATACTGAGTTGTATGCATTGGTATGGTTGTACCAATTATTAAAATATTGAAGCACTTCAATTTGAACTGCTGCCCCAAACCACCCCCATGTGCTTTCTGATGTCTCGGCCACACTAGGACTTCCCGAGGCCTCCCTGTGATCTGGCAGCCAAAGGAGTAACAGCTGGAAGAGCCAGAGCCCTCTAGCCAGCATCCTATGCTATGCTGGTTGTTCAGCATTTTGAATGTCAGCCCTATTGTATGCTTCTCAACTTCCATCAACCCCTTGTCGTCGGACTTCATTCATTCTGCAATATCCAGCCGAAGCCTCCTCTCCCCACCACTCCCGCTTCCCCTGAAAACTCACCAGGCTGAGCTGGCAGCACCTGGCAGTGTGGGTAAGGGCATGGCCTGCCCTCTGGGGTACCAGAACTCCATTCGGAAGGCCCCTCCCCAGGTGGGTGTGGTCCCAGGGGCTGGCGTGGAGTCAGACACAACCATACTGGCTGTGAACTTGAGTAACAGGAGCCTGGGGTTTCTGGTAGCAGCCTCCTGTCCAGGCCCGGAGGTCCGAAGATTAATGGGTGGGCCTCTGGGGACCAAGGGTATGCCAGGCTGGGGCCATAATGGGGAAAAACCTGGCAGGCTGGGTGTGCAGTCAAGTCCTGGGGCCGAGAGGCTGGGGTGGGCTCTGAGGGACCCCCCCGCCGTTTCTTCTGTGGGTGTCGGACCGAAACGCTGGATTTCTGCCAGTGGAAGAGGCTGCTGGGATTGGGACTGGGGCTGGAAGCATCAGTTGGGCCTGGGGCTGGCTCTGTGAGGGCCCTGGGTGGTTGTGGGTTGGGAAGCTGCCCTGACGAGGCTGCTGCATTGCATTTGGCAGCTTGCTGACCAGGAGAAGGCAGCTCTGGCTCTGGCTGTGTCCGAGGAACCTCGAGCCTGGACTGCAGGACCCGAGTTTCTGGACCAGGCTTCCTGCCATGCCACTGGAAGCGCTTTTTGTAGTGGTGGTGCCGATGGCGGTGGTAGTGGATGTGGCTGGAGACCTGGGGTTCCCCTCTGGGCACCACTGAGTCCAAAGAACGGGGCCGAGAGGTCACGCTGGGTTGAGTCTCTTCCTCCTGGGGCTCCCCTTCAGGGCTGCAGTAAACCAAGGGGTCAAAGTCACTGCTCAGAGAGCTACGGAAGGTAGAACTGCTGCCGTGGATGCCTTGCAGGCTGATGTCCGTGCAGTTGACCACTGAGTCACTTGAAGACCCATGGCAGGGCCCCGAACTAGAATCACTGGCTGGCCCATCTGCCAGGTACCCGCTGCGTTCTGTGCAGTAGCTTTCTCCAGACCCACTGCTGTCATGAGGCCTGGCCCGGCGTGGGGGTGCTGGGCAAGTGGCCGTATGCTGCGAGGTGCATTGGAGGCGGCTTAGCCCCCAGCCCTGTGCGAAGGGGTGCTGGGCTGCTGCCAGGCGCTGCTGCTCGCCTGGAGTCCGGGGATGTGCAGTTCTGGGGAGGCGGTGATGCCGAGGGCCCATGCCTGGTTCCTGGGATGGTAGGAAAGGACCAGGTCGTGGGGGCCGAACCACTGCAGTCCGGGAAGGGCCCAGCAGGTAGGCAGCAGGAAGGTGGTAGTGGGCATGGCCAGGATGCTGGCGAATGAGATGGAGTCTCCGGCCTGGTTCCTGGTAGGATCGGGTGGGTCCCACGGGCTGGGAAAATGAATCTCCCTCTGGAAGAAAGAGCCAAGAGCACAGGTGTTTGTGCAAATCTATAGAGGGTGCATTCAGAAAGGTGTGGCTACAGCATACCTATCTGAGCCTACATAGCCTGTGAACTCAGTCAGAGTTTGAGGGACCGAGGACATTCCCAATGTGCCTGTGCCCTGGGATGCCTTTGCTCCCCCAGTCAGATTGTCCTCTGGGAGCTCCACTATGCATGTCAATTCCTGAGCCTCCCAGCAGTCATTTGGGGCTCTTTCACCCAGGGTCACTGCAAGCTCACAGTGCGCCTCTGGGTGAATTAGAAAAAGGCTCTCTTTCCTCCAGATACCTCACTTGCATCTTTTAGAAAATTGTCATAATATCTTGGTTTTATTAGAAAAGGATACTTTATTGCCAGAAAGTTGGAATAATAAATATACAAATCACCCAGATTTATAATCAACAAAGCTGTCATAAAAATACAAGTAATTTTTAACATAATAAAGATGTCTACAGTGTCAATGGCCCTACCCCTCAGACGAGGTGCTCTTAGGGCACAGCTTAAAGAACTACCAAGGCAGTGCTGCTTTCTCCTCAGCTTCAAGGCAAAACCCTTTCCCAGAGGAAGCCATGTTTTAGACCCATCTGCCTGTAAACAGGAAGAGTCCTTGGCCCACCTCCTACCTACGATGTTGAACATGCAGAGAGGACAAGTCCGATGCTGATGTAGCCAGGGGTCCACACAGGCACGATGGAACTCATGGAGGCAGGAGATGACCCGTAACTCCTAGAGAAAATAAGGGGGTCCAAACCAAAGTTATCATTAGTTATAGGAGTAGCCAGGAACCAGGTTGTCCCCCTAACTCCCTCCAGCCTCTCCCTCTTGCTATCATCTACTTGCAAAAGACCTCCTAATAGAATAGAGAAGGTATGGGCTTTGGTATAAGGTAGACCTGGATTTTGCCACTTAGCTGCATGACCTTGGGCAAGTTTCTTAACAGACAGTTTTTTGCTGTACAATGAGGAAAAAAAAAAACACCTAATCACCCTTCATCCCTCATGGTCATGAGGCTAAAAGGAAATAATGCATCTCAAGCACCCACTGCAGAGCCTGGCACATGGTACACAATCAGGAAACAATAGTTCTATTTCCCTGGTAGACCAAAAAAAATAACCAAACCTCAGGCTATCCCCTACCTCTGCTGAATGCAGGATACACAGGACGCACATGCAGCCAGAGCGCTCACACAAGCCTGAAGCACCTCCTCCCCCAGGCTCCGGCTTCCCTCCCAGCCTGGCCACAGAGGCCAACCGCCATCCCTGCCTTACCTGGCCCTCAGAAAACTCCTCCAGGCAGATGGCACACACAGGGGCTGAGCTGCAGCTGCTCCCTGAGTCTGGCCACTCACTCCGGGCCTTCTTGCAGCTGGCCCGGTACCTCCTGGTGACCAGCTGGCTGATGGCCCAAGCTGTTTGCTGCTGAAGAGGATCCTGGGAAGAGGGGCGGGGCTCAGAATGGGGCAAGGGCTCCTTTCCCCTCATCCCTGGACCCCAGCTTGTATTCAGTTCCCAGTCACACGTGGCCAATTGACTACCGTTGGGAGTTTGTGCCCTTCAAGCATATATGGGGTTTTGCTAAGCAAGCCAAGCCCTCCCACCCCACTCATCAAGCTTTCTTTCCCTTGATCCATTAGAAACTTCTCATCCAACTGCCTGCTTGACACCTCCACTTGGATATCTAATTGGCAGGGCAAGTTGAACACCGGAAGCCCATTAACCACCCCTAACCATATACCTGTCCTCCCCTAGCCTGCCCCATCTCAGTAAATGGCAATTCCATTCTTTTAATTGCTCAGGCCAAAAAACTTGGTGCCATTCTTAACTCCTCTCTCTCACACTCCATGATGAACCCGGTAGTAAACCTGTCGGCTTTACCTTCAAAATACACCGAGAATCTAACTGGTTCTCACTCCTTTCACAGCTACCTCCTTAACCCAAGCTACCATTACCGTCACCTTGATTCCTGTAATAGCCTCTTAATTGGTGTCTCTGTTTCCAGCCTTGCCTCCCTGTAATCTAGTCTCCTCAAAGCACCAAAGGGATCATGTTAAAACTTAAGTCAGATCATGGCACTCCTTCTGTTCAAAACCCTCCAAATGGCTCTCATTTCACCCAGAGTAAAAAACAAGGTCCTGACAATGGCCTAAGAGCAGTCCCATACAACTGGGCCCTCATGAACTCTGTCCTCACCTCCTGCTCTGCCCTCTCTCTCATTCCATTCCAATCACATGGCCTTCTCACGTGTTTTGTTTTTCTTTAATTATTATTAGTTTCAGGTGTACAAAACAATGTAATAGACATTTATACCCCTCACAAAGTGATAACGCCCCTCCCCCAATCTACTACCCCAATGGCCTTCTCACAGCTGCTCCTCAGACATCCCGGCAGGCCTCTGCCTCAAGGCCTTCACACCTACTCTTTTTTCCACTCGATCACTTTCTCCCCAGATACGTGCACAGGTCACCCCCATTTAGGCTTTTTCTCGTAATGTCATTTTCTCGATGAGGCTTCCTAGCCTTACTTTTAAAAATGAACCCTCTCCCCTTTACATTCTCTCTCCCCTTTTCTATTTCATTTTTCTTCCTAGCACATACTACCATCAAAAATACTTTTTATTTTACTTTTATTTTGTTCATTGACTGTCTCTTCCCACCAGAATGAAAGCTCCCAAGGGAAGGGATCTTTTGTCTTTTTTGTTCATTGCACTACTCCCAATACCTGGAACTGTGCCTGGCACCTAAGAGGGAGCTCCCTGTATTTGCTGAATGAATGAATGAGAAAACCTATGAAGAAAGGCTGCTGGAACTTGACTAAGTCAGACGCCAGTGTATTTAGATGTGAACTGTTTCGTGAGCATAAAGGCACATTCTTTCCTCACCGTTCCTTCCTGCTTCCCACCCTTCCACACACATGCACAGGCCCACCTCTGCCAGGGAGCCCACTCCGCTCACCGGCCTGCTGTGGCGGGGACGGCACCGGATGCGCAGCACTGAAGCCAGAATGACCACAAAGATGGTGCCCACCACCGTCAGGAGGATCCACACATCATAATCTGGCTGGGGGAGCGAGCAGAGAGGGAGAGGGTCATTCTTCTGGAAGGAAGTGGGCCAATTTGGAAGGAAGATGGGAGCCCAGGAGACACACAGAGAGCTGAAGGTCTCCTTGAGTCTTCAGCAGAGGGGCTGGGGTGGGAGGAACCTGCAGGTGGGGTTGGGTGGTTCTTCTCTGCCCATGGGCACTCACAGGAGAAGGTCCACTAGATGACAGCTGTGAGAGATGCCATCTGAAGACCTGTATGCTTGGGGAAAAAGGGGAGAGGAACCCCTCTAAGAAGTGGAAGCTACCCAGTGAGCAGCTGGGTGAGGTTTCTAGCCAGCAGAGAAATATCAACCAGGGTTCAGGAGGCTAGGGGGCCAGGGGTTCATTCCGGCTCTGCGACTGTGCTCCATGAAACCACAGAGCTGAAAACAACTTGAGAACTCAGCTGGCCCAATCTGTTCGTTCTGTGGTTGAGGCCCAGACAGGGGAAGAGACTTGCCCAGAGGCACATAGTTGGTGGGTGACATTAGACTAGAGGGTTGCTGAGGTCTCTCCAGCTTAAGGGCTTTGGGGGGGAGTTGCCATGAGACAAAGGGTGAGAGCAGATGCTGAGGTCTGGCGATCTGCATGCTTACCCAGGTCGGGCGCTCCTTCAGCTCAATCCTCACATGGGCCTTGCGGTTCTTGTACACAAACTCCATCAGCTTCTCGGCATCATTGCCCCAGATCAACACCACTGGCCAAGTCAGCCCCAGGGGCTGCTGCAGCTACAGGAGGGAAAGTGCTCATAAGGGCTGCTGTGTCCTGACTTCTTACCCTGGTCACTTTATCTTCCTCCGTCCAGCCCCCTCCTCAAACACCCCAATGTCCCCGGGTACCTGCTCAGCAGCAGCTCGATCTTCAGTGATGTCAAAGAGGACAGCACTGGCTCCGCGCTCACCTGCCATCCGGGCCTGCAGACACACAGCAGAGGTCCAGCTGGGGTCAGAGAAGGACATAGCCCACCCGTGCTCCGGCCTCACCTCCTCACACATGCACCCCCTCCTTGCATCTTGCACACACCACACCTCTGCACACATATAACACATGTAAGGGGGCAGTAGGACCTGCATCCCCTGTTCACCCAGGTCCCGCTGCCTTCAAGGACAACATTCAATCCTGTTTAATGGAACAAACCCTCAACAAGGGTTTAGAAGGTGCCAGGTGGTGAACTAGGCTCTAGGGCTAAGGACAAATTAGGCCCAGCCCCTGCCCTCAGTCTACGGTCACTAAGTGTGAGGACAGAGTAGGGAGTGACCAGCACCCCCGGGCGTGGAGGGTGACCAGTCCCCAGTACAGAGAGGGAAGTGGGGCAGAGCAGAGGTGGAGAGCTCCCTCAGAACAGGGCCTGCAGTGCATACCCCCAGCTCGGGCAAAGTTCCCAGAGCCTGGGACACTGCTCCCACCCAAGATCTCCAAGGCTCAGCCCATCTCAGGGGCTCTCTTTCCCTGCCACACTCTGGTTTGCCAGCTCTTCTCTGGCTCCAATTCAAGGATTTAATGGAGTCCCTGTCCAGTGCGTTATGCCTTCATCCCTTCCCTGAGGGTGGCACTAGAGACTTAGATGGGGAGGGACTTGAGGGGCTGTTTCCATGAGGACTCAGCTGTGCACATCACGCTCACCAAGGCTCCAGGAGCAGGTTTGGGGAAGCAGAATCTAGCTAACCAGGCAGAGCAGACAGCAGATCCAGAATGAGAACAAGAAGCAGGAATCCGGGGCACTGGGTGTGGGGTAGGAGAAAGGAGCTAAGAACTGAGGGTGAGGTGAAGGCATAAGGGCAAAGGACCGACAGATAGACACCACTCTCAGCCTCAGCGTTAGGTGTCCCTGGCCAGCAGAGCCACCTCCAGCCTTCCTCCCTGCTGCAAAGGCTCATCTTGTAATGGCTTCAGGCTGCGCCCTCATGTTCCTGGGGGCCTGCTAAGTCTTTGGGCCCTTCTTCCAGGTACTGAAGGAGTTAATCCTTCTGCGCATAGTGGTGGCAGGAAGAGGAGCCAGTGCTGGGGCTTACTCACACTCTCAGTGCTTTGATCTCTGCTTCCCTTCCCGGGGAGAGCCTGTTGGGGCAGGTCTCCTGCCAGGCAGGCCAGGGGAGTGGCTCCTTGCTCCCGCTCCCTGCTCCCTGCTCCCCAGGCAGCAGCAGGGTCAGGGGGCCCCTCAGAAAAGGCAGCGTGCAGACAGGGGAGCTGGGGGTTGGTGGTGGAGACACTCGAGTGGGGCCCTGTTTTGGTCAGGAGAGTAACTTTCCTCTTGCCTCTTTCTTTCCCAGAGTAGCTGGGTTGGGCCCTCTACCAGCACCCAGGCCCAGCCCAGGCCCAGGCTCGCAGGGCTAATTGACTGGAAATTCACAGGACTCCAGAATGGAGTTGCTGAAGAAACCGAGAGGTCACAGCCTTCATCCCGCTCCTGCCCACTTACTCCCAGGAAGTCCACCCCACCTAGGCAACCCCAGGTAAAAAGAAGCTCTCTACTCTTCAAAGCCCCCCAAGCCAGGGTATGGGAGCAGCACCAGGGGCAAAAGGGGATTCCTACTGCTAATCTCATAGTCCATGACTGGGCTGAGGGGTGGGAAGTCACCCCAGTAGTCACAGAATTGAGACTCCTGTGTTCTCCGTGCTGCTGGGGCCTCATGTTTCTCATCCCCAGAATGAGACCCTGCCTGGCCTGGAAGAGCATGAGGGAAGGGCGCAGACTTCCTTCTCTGGAGATTTTCTTACTTCTTCGCCCCTCTCTCTTTGAAGGATTGGGGTAGGAACAGTGGAAAGTAATTACCCTGAGGTTCAAACATCCCAGCCCATTACAACCCATAATTACAAAGTTGTAAAAATGATCAAAGAGAGAGAGTTGGGCCAAGAGGGAAACAAACAGGACTTTCAGGCAGTGGGTGCCCATGTCCAGAGCTCTAGGAATCAAAAAGCAAGAATGGGGGCCTGATGGCAACCCACTCTGGGGCTATCCATGCTTCCCTTCAATCCACCTGCACCAAACCAAGTGGGAGGGAGAGAGAGAAAGCAGGACTTCTTCAGGGGACTGGAATCTGAAAGGCGGAGAGGTGGGCAGGCTCTACGGAATGGAAGACTGGGCTTTAGGAAGACAACGCAGGGACCTCTGGGAGCTGCAGAGTCAGCCAGCCCTCTAGGGGCAGCAAGCAAGGCTGCCCTCGGCCTCCAGCAACGGGAGCCAATACATCCCAGGACTTCTATACCACACTCCGCACTTCTCTGGGCCTGAGATCTGCCTTTCCAGGCACAGTGACAGTCTGTATGTCTCCTCCTTATCAAAGATTGAGCACCTACTGTGCCCAGGGCACCAAGCCAGGGAGGCCAGGCCCTCCAGAGCAACTCATAATCTAGTTGTGGAGACAAGGCATATATATATAAAATTACAATATGTCGATAACAACATTTTAGAGCAGAAATTAATGAAACAGATCAGTAGTTTCCAAACCTTTTTTCACTGCAGAAAGCCCTTCCCTCCACTTACACCACACACACACACACACACACACAGAATCTGACACAAATCTTCAATATACAAAACATAAAAGTGAGCTGAGGCTGAGGGTGGGGCTGGGGTAAGAAGGACCCTTGGTGTCCCCCTCCCCCAAGTCACCTCTATGAAACCTGGTGTGGAAAGCATGAACGGAGACCCTGGTGGCGTGCCAGGAGGGAGGGATTTCTGTTCCTAGTGGACTAGCTTGGCTGAGCCAGTCAGGAAAGATTCAATAGAAGAGGCGGGATTCATCTGGGCTTGGAAGCAAGGGCAGGAGGAAGTAGAAGGGAAATAACTTTCAGTGAGACCCACTCTGCCTAGACTGCTTAGGACTGAGTCCCGAATCTGCTATTAACTATTAGCTGTGAGACTCTGGGCAAGTCATTTTACTGCTCTGTTCCTTAGTTTTCCTTTCTGTAAATTGGGGATAATAACAGGACCTGCTTCACAGGGTTATTCTGAGGATTATATAAATTAATCCATGGAAAGCCTTATACGAGTGCCTGGCACACAGTAAATGTTCCTCAAGTATTAGTTATTACTACGTCAGGATTACCATGTTCCTTGTGTAACAGTACTCCTCACAACCACTCTGTAAGACAATCATCAGCCCCACTTTTGAGCTAAGGAAACCCAGGACTTCCGTCTTCCCAGTGCCTGGCTACTAGGTAGTGGTCTCTATAACAAGACAGGCAGGGCTTGTGCCCATCTGCTTGCCTCCAGAGCCAGCTCCTTCCACCAGGCAAAAGGCCACTACTCTAGTACAGGAATGAGATGATAAGGGCCCGGGTAATCAAAGAATGGCTGCGGAGTTGCTAATAAAGAAACAGAAACCAGTCTGGGTGGCTGGAGGGGAGAGGGCGTGGTGCTGAAAAGAATGGAAGAGTCCAGAAGAATTACGGTGAGGGTTTCAGAGATGGAGAGAGAGAACAGGGTTTCAGAGATGGAGAGAGAGAACAATGAAAGAAAAAAACCAACTCTGTTCACTCTAAAAGCATGGGATGATGACGCCAGTGATGATGACAACAGTGATATTGCACTAATTTATTGAGTGATCACTATGTGCTTCACATAAGGCTAAGAACTTCCATTTGGAATGTCTCATTAAATCCTCATAACTACCTTACGATATAAGTCCCATTATTATTCCCCTTTTACAGATGAGGAAGCAGGCTCAGAGAAGTGAGCTAAAATGTCCAGGTGCTGAGGGGCAAGGGAGATACCAGGCTTCAGACCCAGGGCTGTCTGGCTTGAGAGCCCAGCTGTCAATGGTGATGGCACCACTGACACCAATCGATATGCCAGAGCAGAGCTGATTGAGGTCAGTGATTTTCAAACTTTCTTCACCAAAGACCCACCGTTTACCTATGCATCTCTTGAGCCATTTTTAAACACATTCGAATGTTAGAATTCCAACCAGAAGCAAAAAAAAAAAGAAAAAAGAAAAAAGAAAAAAAAAGAATATTTTAGTTAAGCTTGTGGTACTTCTAAATCATTGGAAGTGGCTCAAAGGCTCACATTACTACTTTCACAGACGTCCTTTGGGCCCGGGGATCCCAGGTGAGCCACTCGGTCAGGTTGAAGGATGAGACCTGAGGGAAACCTTGGACCTGGCCCGTGAAGAGCTTGGGGTTACAGCAGTTTCCACCAGTGGTTCCCACCCAGTGACGGGGGCAGATGCCAGGCGGGACGCGGAGGGGTGAGTGTGGTGGGGGTGGAGGAAGCGGTCACAGGGCGGTAGCCAAGGCGCTTCTTCTAAACCCCTAAAGATTTTCACTTGTGTTTGTTTTTAGCTCAGGCACCACTGACACTTGCCATAAACTATTTTCATCGTCACAATAATCACTGGGGTAGGAAATAAAAGTCCCATTTTATGGTGGTGGAAACAAAGGCCCAACAAGGTTAAGTACGTCAAAGAGCACTGACCACATGTCCCTGGCTTCCCCGTGCCTGTGCCCAGGCCTTATTTCTCTGACTGGAGCGTGCTCCTCCAGGGGGGCGAGCAGAAAACGCCTATGTGGACACGTCCTGACAGGTTGCCAAGTGTTCACAGGTATGTGAAATCATACACTGCTCTAGAAGAACAGCAGAGCTTCTCTGACCCCTTCTTCCACCCAACCCCCTTTCTCTCTCTCTGTTTCTCTCTCTGTCTCTCTCACACACACACATACTCCATTCACATTCGCGCTACCTAACACTGAGCACTGGTCTACCAACTGAAAAAACGAATGACATTTGCCCATATTTTGTAAAACAAGGGAAATGAAATAGCCAGAAGCACGGTAGCTCCAGCCTCACAAAATTCTGCTGCAATTAAGGACATTCCCAGTCTTGCAGAGACACCACACTCCCTAGCTCCTCCAGGTATGTTCTGCCCCGTTTCCCACCTCCCCTGGAGTCCCCTGCTGCATCAGCACGGCCAGGCTGGGAGAATATCTTCATCTACTTGTGGGCATCGCATTCACAACCCTGCCCACCCCCGCCCCTCCCCAGTGGGATCACATAAGAGGTTGTTTCCTGAGCCACGTGTCTCAGGAAATCCCCAGGGGACCTAGGCCTGAGTACAGAGAGCAGGCACATAGGCAGAGACTGTCACCTTCCTCCTTTACCGCCCCTGTGAGCAGGACCTCTTCCCCCAAGTCCACCTGACTGTGCCACCCACAATCTAACTACAGTCTGGCTTATGTCACCGTGAGAACCTTTTCACATTTGTTCACTTTTCTCAGCCAGAATGGAAGGCAACAGAGCAGAGAGAGAGTAAAAGCCCAGGTTTGAGAACTGGCTAAGGCCCAGTTCAAATCTCAGCTCCACCCTTCCTAGCCTTGTCATCTGGCAAGTTACTTAAGTTTTCTGATCCTCACTTGCCTTGATGTCAGATAGGGAATAATAATGTCTAGTTTCCTAATTGTTGTGAAGGGTAAACGAGACAATACACATATATAAGGGATCTGTCCCATGTCCCATCTGGCACATGGTAAGCACACAGAGAACAGTAACTCATGCTAAAGCAGGGGTCACAAATGCAAATGTTTACAGGGCCTTGGGGGTAGCAGGCCAGTGGGGAACACGGCAACCAGAGAACCCATGACTGTGGAAAGGCAGCAGCTGCGGCCAGTTCCAGCCAATAGTGCCCCGTGGAAATGTGGGGCCACCGGCATGCAATCTGGGCGGAAGAGTGGGAACATTTTAAGGGTAGGGACAATGGCTTCTGTCCCTGCTATTCTTGCATAGCGCTCAGTGAATAATTCCAAAAGATGGAGAAGACCTCCAGCTGGCCCCTCTTTGCTCTGATGATGGGCAGGGTAAGAGGTTTAGGAACTTCCAGGTGATGGGGGAGGAGATGGGGTACGGCACATCACATGCCCAGCTGGCAGTCACAGGTTCTGCTGGTAGATGGGTGGCGGGGAAAGGACAAAGGCCTGAATTCCCACTTCTCTCAGGCCACTCATGGCTTAGGAAAACCTGAGTGAATCGGAAACCTAACTCTTAGGAGACAAGGGCCAGAGAGCAAAGGAGCCTCTCACAGCCTGGAAATGGATGACGTTCAGAGTATGTGGGGGGTTGAGTGTGAATCTACCTTGCTGGCCAGTGACAGGCAGGGGCGGGGAGCCCGCTGGGGACTCTCCAGCTTGACGATGCTGATGAATCCAGGCTCCAGATTGTCGTCATCACTGGCATTGCACAGGTACAGGGGGTGGGACTGCAGGGAGAGAGAGAGAGAAAGGCAGGTTAGAGAGGCTCTAGGGAGCAGGAGTAAGCTGTGAGAGCCGAGCACCTCTCCACTGTCCTAGGCAGGTACCAGGCAGGTCCTCAGTGCTGGGAGAGAGGGGGCCTTATTATTAGATGGCCTCATACTAAGCTAGTAAGCATCCATTATCATTGCAGGGGTGCCAGGGCCAAGGATACATGGAGGTGGGGGCAGATAGGAATAAGGGGACTCCAAAAGGGGGACCTCACTGAAGAGCCCCCTGCAAAGCAGCCCCAACAACCCATAAGCCCTGGTTTTTCAAATAGGCTGGCCACAATGGGCTCTTCTTCCAGTGCCATCTTCTCTCACCTCCTAATTTTTCTACCTGCTCCCAAGCCCCAGGCTAAGAGCCATATCAGTGCTTTCAGAATCGTGCCTTCCCTCTTTGCCCCCCCCAGGGCAGGGCTGGGTGTTGCTGGTGCCTCCTTTTCCCCCTTGGGATGCCGCCCCACCCCCTCACCCCCAGCAGCTGGTGCCCCAGAGATTCCCAACTTCCCATCTCTCACGGAGCTTGCCTCTTCTTACTCAGTGCTGCTGCCTTGTTCCTCTTAATATCCCCCTTTGCGCCTGCCCTATGGCCACCCCGGGATTAAGCAGGGTGCTGACAGAGAGAAGAGACTATTTGAGGATGAGTCGTGGCTAACAGTTAAGCCTTTACCAGCACAATTCCTAGGGGTTTGTCCTGCCCCCAGAAATGATGCAGTAGAGATGGAGCCAGCTCAGCCCATCTGCTCTGAGGGTGTCAGGTCCAATCCAACACCTGGGCTGAGCAATGACTAATGGGGGAAGTGGGCCCAAGATGTGCTAATAGAGGCCAGAGGATCCCCTCAACAAAGGGGTGAGACTGTCCTTCTTTATGCTCTCTTCTCATTCAAGGTGATCCAAATACCCACTTGAATCTAATTTTCCCAGAGTGCTGTGAGAACAAAGTATGATTTATTTGGCCCTAGATCATCCTATGGACCAGGGGTTCCCACATGGTGAAACCCCAAGGTATCCTGGCAAGAAAGGGGATTTCCTACTAGGAAGCTGCCCACGCAGCTGTTGACGTCTAAAGGACTTCCAGAAAGAACCACCAGAGGAACCAGAGACTTTCAAATTTATAAAGATGATCATTTGATGATGGGTTTAAAAGCACAGTTACTTTCTGAAAGCACTTTCAGGCTATCTCCTCTCACTGTATCACTGCAGCCCCTTGACCATAGTAGGTTCTCTATAAATATGCTGTACCTTGCTTTGAATTGTGAATAAAACTGTTTAGGCAAGTATTGTTGAGATGGGAGGGATTTCCATTCTTGCTCCTAGAACTTACAAACTATTAGTCTGGTGGCAATTAAGGTTTAGTGTGTGGGGGGAAAGGTTGTACACCCCCCTACCCCCCCAAAAAAGGCTGGAGTAAGGTTGGGGGCTGTTTTCACTTCAGTGACGCTGTAGCCCCTGTCTCGAAAGCTCCACTAGTCTGTCTGTCTGCCCATCTGTCCAAACATACATCCATTCATTTCTTCATTCTACCAACAACGAAAGCCCCCTTGGCGCCAGGCATTGTACAAAGCATTGAGGAGTCAACAATGAATCAGATGGGCTCCTGCCTTAAAGAAGCTCGGAAGGCAAGACAAACGTGCAAACACATTGTATTTTGATGTTATGATGCAGGTTCATTCAAGGGCCTGTGGGAGGGTACACGAGTGGGGACTAATAATCCCACGAGGGAGGGCAGAGTGACTTCATGGGAGTCACTCTGGAACAGGTATGTGTTCACAGAGGAGGGGGCCGTCCTGGCAGAGGAAGCGGCCTGTGCCAAGGTGTGGATGCACAGACACGGGGTTGGGAGGGACTGTAGGCGGTTAGGTCTGGCGTGGGAGGGAAGGGAGGCGATCAGGCTGGAAAGGTCAGCAAGATCCAGACCACGGAACAGGGACCACAGGGTGGCATTTGAGAGGGATCTCCCTGGTGACTACAGAGGACAGTGTGGTGTAGTGAGGAGTCAGAAGTCATCTGCTCCAGCAGAAAAAAAGATGTGAAACCTTCCTTCAGAAACAAGAAGCTGCAGCCACAGAAGCCTGCTGCTGTGCTTGCCCCCACCCCACCTGACCCGCGGTCCTGCTTTCTCAAGAGCTCCGACAGGCCTCTCACTGACCAGAGGATCAACTGGGAGAGGGGGAAAGGCACTTTGGAGGAGAGTGATCTTTAGAAAAGAATGTTCAAATATTTAACCACCTCTCTGCACCCAGCCTTTGCAGTGCTATCTGGTAGGGTGTCTCTGAGAAGGTGGAGGGGGAAAATCTTGGTGTCAGAGCCACCAGACTCCCCTGGTCCTGAACTACAACTATAGAAGAGGGAAAGGGAGGAAGTTAACCAATAGTAAATGCCTCTGGTGTGCCAGGGCCATTAGATGCTATCTCACCACAAGGTAGATACGATCATCCCCATTTAAAGAGAAAGAAGCTTGAGGCTCAGAGAAATTAAGGTCACACAAGGTCAGAACCCAGCTCTGTCTGACTCCATCCTCTGGAGTCACGTAACTCCAAATGAACCACACAGTCAACCCTCTATTGTTGTTGATGGTGATGATGATAGTTTACATTTATTGAGTGAATACGGTAGGCCAGTGATTGTTCTAAGCACTTCGGTGTATTAACTCTTTTTGTCCTCTTACCCCTATGAGGTAGAAACTATTATTGTCCCCATTTTAAAAATGAGGAAATGGAGGCACTAAGAGGTTATGTAACATGCCCAGGACTTCATGCAGCTGAAATCAGAAGAAATGGAAAGAAGTGGTATAAGATAGGTTACAAAAAAATTAAGAACAATTTTTATTGACTTTGAAAACATGATACGTTCCCCCAACTCATGGCCAAGAAAACCTGCCTTCTTAAATATACTCCTAAAGCATAAGGGCCCAAACACGAGTCCCTGAAATATTAGTGGTGACTTCCAGGATTCTATCCTAGGCCTTCTTCTCTTCCCTTTTCATTCGCCATGGTACCCTGGGTGACCCCAGCCAATACAGTGGCTTCGGTTTCCACATAGACACTGTTGATTACATTTGTGCAGCCCAGACTTCTCTTGGGTTCTAGACTCATATGCCCAACAGGTAGGGCCTGGTTATTTCTGCCGGAAGAAACTTAAATCAGACACCCCACACTCAATATGTTCAAAATTGAACTAATCCTTTAATCCCTCAAAACTGTCCTCCAATGTTCCCTATTAGGGATTGGAACCACTATCCACCTATTACCCAAGTCAGGAATTGTCCCCCTCATTTCCTCTCTTTTTCACTCCTCCCCACCATCACCACCAATATCCAAGCAATCGCCAAATTCTAATAATTCTAATATCCTCAACGTTTCTCTTATTCTCTTTCCTCCCTTTCCACAATGGCTACTCTAATACAGGTCGCCATCATTGCTATTCCAATTTACTGAACTAACTTCTTACTTGGGGTCACCTCACCCCACTCAGTTCTCTATACTGAAGTCCAAGTGGTCTAAAGTGCTAACTTGAGCATGTCACTGTTCCACTTTAAGCTCTTAAAAGGCTCCTTAGAGCTCTTGGGAAAAAGTCTGTGCTCTTAAACATAGCTTAAAAGACTCCGCCTGCTCCGGGCTCAAGTCTTTATGCCTTGCCTCAAGGCCTATCATTTCCTTCCCATACCTCTTCCTCCCTTGCAGGCCATGCTTAAGAAATAGCTTGTTTCATGGCCCCACTTTTGGCACTTGATGCTCTGTCAAGATAGATAGTGGCCTCTCCTCTGAGCCCCCTTAGCACCCTGTATTTCCCTAATCATAGATTTATTACATGGTAGGTCAGTTGTCTGTTTATGTCTCTCTCTCCCCGAGGCTATGACTGACCTCCACCGCCTCTTCAGCGGTGCCTGCTACATAGTTTTCTTTTATTAAATATTGAAGATCTACACCCAGATTACTGATACAGCTAATGATAAAGACAACACCATGAGCACCAAAATGCCGACAATGGTGGCTTTGGGAGAGGAATTAGAGAGAAGATGGTGAAGACAGACTTTGGTGTTTTGAATACTTCAATCATAGGATAATATATTGAGATATTGAGTTTTATTTTTTGCTGTTGTGGAAGAATAAAAAAGAATGAGAACTATTTATAGTTTCTTCTGTGTGTTTTCCCTCTTCCCATTCTAAGAAGAGAGCCTCATCTTCTCGTTCCTTGCCTCAGGGGCATTAGCCAAAAGGAAATGTTGCTAAAGACCTATCTCCCGGGCTTTTGTGAAAGACTGAACTCATTGAGGAAATGTGAGTGTCCTGAAGGCAGAAAGGAGTGTGTGTGGAGATGGCAGCAGGAGGGTTAGAATCCCTGGAATCCTGAGGGGTGTGGGGGGAGGGCCCCCAAGGATGTTCCACGCTATGGGAATCTGCAGCCTGTGTCCCAGAAGGGGTGGACGCTAGGAGGCTGGACCCTGACTAAAAAGATGTGCCTACATGGATTTCAAGGGAACACTTGGCTTGGACAATGGGTATATTTGTGGTGACCAGCATGAACAAATACCAGAGGGGTCCCTTAGATGTTGTGGCTACTCTATGAGGGAAAGCTCTCACAAAAACACATTTCCACCCACCTAGTGGAATGGGGCCTTGAAGTCAGATTGAATTTGATGAAAATAAAACACCATGTTTCTTGTATAGTCATTATTTGTGGCATGAAACCATACTCATTACACTTTTGTATGGTTTGACTCTTTTACGATGAGCGTTTTTCAAGTATTTTCAGATTAAAAACAAAAGCAAAAACAAAAGGCCATTCAGCCAGGCCGTTGTTCATTACCTAGCAATGAAGTGATAGTCATCCTTGGGTGTAACAGAGGCTGTCTTTGCCCCCTTCCCTAGGGAATTTTCAGCTGGGAAGAGAGCTCTGAGAAGAAAACAGACCCAAATGCATCTGCCCCCTTGGCATGCAAGGCCTCCTAATGAAGATGCAAA